CAATCATAAAAATACTGGTGAAATGTCTCTACTGGGGCTCTACCTCACCTCTTCCAGACATGGACAACAATCTGCAATCCTCACCAGTTATAAAATACTGCTTCATTTCTAAGTAAGTGATCTTTGAATACACTATTTAAGTATTTTCTATTTCCACTTCCACTTCTCTCCATTTGTTTGTGTGAGAATACTTGAAGCCCTTTAAAAATAACTTAAAATGCTTCAGTGGACATTCTATTGCTTATACTCACGTAAATTTCCATTTTTCTGTACAAGCCATAATTTAGCAGCAAGTTGTGGGTCATTCGGATCCTATGAGGTTTCATTGGATGCCCTTGTCCATAGTAATAGTTTCCAATATCACCTGTCAATATTACAAAAATTAATAGCTAGTCATATTACAAAACAACTTTTCATTGCTACTTAAAAGAATCATTCCCAGAAGAAAGCAGGTATGATGATTAAAAAAAACCAACCACAAACAAAAAACAACACACATACTACCTACTACCTATTTCAAAAAGGCCATGAGGAAAACAAACTGCCCATAAAAGGTCATATGTCAGAAGCAGAGGGCAAAAAGAAGGCCAAATCTAATACCTTTACTACAAGCAGACAGTAGTGGGGGAGAAAAGATGCCTACAAAGTAGTGTTTTCAAATCAAGTGTCAAGAAAATAGTTGGCAGGCACTGAAGAATAAAGCAATGGGAAAAAAAAATGGGAATTAAGAGGGGAGCAGAAAATATTGATGACATAGCCACATTATACCACAACAGAGGCTGCAGTAAAACCTACCATTTTGCAGGAGCTGATTTCAAGATACAATCCTCAGCCTGCCCTTAACTGCTAACCCTACCTAGCAGTTAGGTTCCAGAAGTAGCTTCAGATCCATTGCTGCAACCACATGCACAAACGCTCCCCAGCCACCTGCTGCTAGGGATCCACAGTAGTTTAATAGAACCTTGTAATCCAGATTAGCCTGGCTCTGTCAAATTGGAGAGTAAATTTGACACTCACTTCCAAGAAAAGAATGGATGCTATCACGGGCTAGTTAAGTTTTCTCCCCAGCTCAGGTACTGTTAGAAGATACACGCCTCCACTTTGAACACTGACATTCCCCAGACACATATCATTTTAAACAGAACTAGTGGTCCATGTTTCTGGAAACACAGATAAGCCTAAAAAGATATGTCTAGTTGTTAATGGCTTTCAGCTGGAGAATACCATAACAACTCTTTGCAATAGCACCTCTCTTCTTTTTGACCAAATTTCCTGATAGGATTAGTGAACTTTACCTTCTTGAAATTTTTACTTTTCTTGCACATCCCCTGTCTTGTCCACTTGCAAAGAAAGAAATAAATACTATTTTCACAGTGTCATACTATTTCACAAATATCGGTAGTCAGAGGTAAGAAGCAGCACTGCTACAAAACAGCTTCAGCTTCACCTCTTCAATGTGAGGTCCAGCTCAGAAGGAAGGGAAAACATCAGCTTGGAGTAGCATCACCAGCTACCAAGAAAAGCAAGCATTACAGTAAGATTCTAAGTCTCAAAGCCTTCTAAAATCCAGCTTTCGGCTTTCAAAGTGACAAGAATAAAGACACTTAAGAAAATAGATATAATCTCATGCAATGCAAGATGAAGTTACCTAGAAAAACAATCACTTAACACCTAGCTCTTAGCCATCCTCTAACAATGGAAATATGGAGTTTTAGCATTAAGTTAACAACTTTGAAGAACTTGGACCTAATCCTAACTCAGGTATTTGACTGAAAATTAGCACTTCTTGTCAGTTACTAAGACCTGGAGTCTTGCAGATAATTATTGCAAGCCTGCACTTTTGGTCACATGCAGGTCAAAAAAAAAAAAAAATCAGCAAAATACTTCCATACATTTTACAAAATGCTACCTTACAAATTTTGTGTTTAGGAAAGATCTATCACATCTCTTTGACAGTAATGACTGGAAGATGGAAACCAACCATTTACTAGCCCTACTTTGTTTTGTGAAGTTACTGTTAAGTCCCAGATTTACAAAGCTTCAAGCTAATAAGAGCTTAAAATGTTGAAATTTAAGACAATTGTGACTTTCAATAACATGATGCTTTTGAGGAAACTTCATTCGAAATGCATTTGTGGCTTACAGAATGTGTATGCATTTTGTAACTTTTTTTTTTAAAAAAAGGTCATTTCAATTTTAACTACTTCAGCTTCATTATCACCGATATTTTACTCAAAATGCTGATGGATAAGGGAACAGACAATTAAGAATGATTTTTTTATCTTACGTAAAATTTAAGATGTTATTTTCCCTAATGTAAAAGAAAAAAGAAAAAAATAACAAGCTTTCCAAATATACTTGCAATATATCCTTCTATATATTGTAATTAAGCAAACATTCAAAATTAAGCATATTCTACATAACATACACTGCAGTGTACACTTAAAAATTCAATAAATTGAGGACACTTTTTAACTTTCCCTTTATTTTTTACCAACAATGAGAACTTTTAAAAGAATTGGTAAGTTGATAAATTTAATGGGAGCTTATTTAATCAAATAGAAGATCTGTGGGCAAGTATCTGGCAGAAGCATATTGATCCTTCCATATTAGAGATCAGCAGTAATGACTAACAATAGGTATGAATATAATAAACTTTAGCAACAGGCAATACCATTTACATCTTTCAGGTCTTTGCATCACCAACAAAAAGGGTTTTTGGCATTAGCCTCAAAAAATTCAAACATATGGACAAAAAGTCCATTAAATTTCAAGGGACTGTTGCAATGTGTATGTTGGCAGGGTTGAGGAAGGAAAAGGTACGCAAGAGGTTCCTCCTCCTTCATTGATTTCCAGCCAACATCACATCACAAGGGGGACTCATCTGTGGAGAAGGCAAAGGCATCAGAAGTCTCTCCTCCTTTATCCAGTGAAGTAGAAGGTGTCCTTCCTGGTACTTCATCCACTAATCCTGAAACCTATGCATCTCTTCCTCCTGTATCACAGCCTTACGGGAGTACTTTGGGGAGAAGAGCAAGGTGTATCAAGAGCTAGTGCATGCAGGGATGTGACATCTCCCCACTGATAGGGCTAAAAAGCTCTGCATTTAGTGCCAGACTAACTCTGGCTAGAGCATGCATATATATGAGAAACGGGTACAGTGAGGCCAAGGGCACAAGACTAGTATTGCAAGTAGTACGAGCATTTGATCCTAAATTTGTCAATAGTAAGGAAAAAAATCATACAGAAGTGTTATGAGCATATTTTATATCGCTCACCAGTGTGGGTGCACATGGGAAGCGCAAGAGGAAAGAACATAACTGAAAGAGGAAGCGGAGGGAAAAAATGCAAAGTTGTACATTCGGAAAATTGGCAAATCTGTTAATTTTTCATAGCAAGGCTTCAAAGACTGAAATTTAGTTTTATACCTGTAAAAATATCAGCTAAATGGCTCTCATTGAGAAGTAACAACATAATCTCTGAAAAGCTGAGTCTTTAACAAAAGGGATGAACCAAGCGACCAGTTTAATCCTAGCACAAGTTTACTGTCTTGCACTGTTCGCCACGTGATGCAAAATGTGATACCAACAAATGACCTGAAGACCTACCTGAAAATTAAGTTGTTACATACCATGTCACGTTCCAGTTTCAAATGTATTAAAACAAATAAAAATAATCTCTCAATTCATACAAGTTACCTAAATTCTGAAGAGAGCTATCAAATAAAAATAAACCCACAATTCCTGTGATGAACATAAATTTTAGACACTCAGTTCTCTGAGACTTCAGCAAGGTCTACAGATGTTAAACATTCTAACACATAGAAAAACACAAGAAGCTACATGCCCTCAAGGAACTTCAATTATGTCTGACAAACACAAAGCCAACTAACAAAAGCTGCTATGTCCCCCCAAAAGTATGTTAGTCTCTCTGCTTACTAAGATATATAGAAAAATAACACCTTTAAATTAACTCATTACTAAACAGTCTTAATGGCCTAAACAAAGAGGCAAGATATATTTACCGATCTTTTTTGATACTTTGTAACTTGTAAGTTACCTTACTTTGTAACTTTGATACGATTAATTGTTATGTACACTGAACATATCTCTGCTTATTTTAAGTACAGTTACTATGAAATCATGAGGTATTTCAGAACTGCACGAAGTACAGAAACCTAACCAGTGCACTGGAAACCACATGAAAAAAAAAATATATCTTAATAGCAGTAGTTACATTTGTATTGACTTCTGCAATACTAATGGGTGAATTCATGTAAAGATGAATATAAAAAAATATCATCAATGCCTGATCAGTCCAACAAACAGCTATTCAAACAGGCCTAAAGTTACTGCACTAGCATCAGAAGGGTTGAGGGTTTTGTTCTGTGTTTTAGCAGACAGCAGAAGACTAGCAAAGTTCTGGCTTTTGAGCCCCAAGCAGAGGTTGGACACCACCGCTGTGTTTGGAAGCCACTGTGCAAAGCATTGATGAACTTCCGTGAAACATGCTCCAGTTAAAGCTTACATCTGCAGATCAGATGAACTTAAACTAGAAGTGCTACTGTACTTAAACAATGTCTGAATACAGTAGCATACTGCATCTCATCTTTGTGGGTGGAACCAACCACATTCTGATGCAGATCTCAAATTTTTCGTGAAGGTAGAGCCTTTTGAACACCCACACTAAATTACGCACAACAAGCAATCCAAACAATATTGCTAGCGCACTGGCATGGAATAAACACACTTATTAACTGTAACCATGCTAGTTGCTGCGTGGTTCTCTAGAACTGTGCTTTGCTGTACAGGAGCACAGAGTTGGAAAGACCACCTGGGTCCTGTCCTCATTGCTACGGGCAACTGTACAACACGTACGTATTTTGGAAGAGGCCACTGAATGACCTGAGCTACATGCTGCAAGATGGTGACAACAACCCGAAGACCAATGCTAAGAGGCTAAAATAAAAGTTACAATATCCTTCCATATCTAGCATGGTTCTAAGCAGTGCGAGCAACAGACTTCACTAAGCTATGGCTTCATATATATATATATGAAGATTAGAAGCATTTATTCAAAATATTTCAGATAAGACAATTCATATACTTTAATTTGTACGTTTTTAGTTCTTCCCATAGTATACTGGCTCAAATTTAAGTAACATTTCTGACTTGAGCATGAACAATGCAAATTCTGCAAACTGGATGAGGCTGACAGTCTATTACAAACAAACTGCAGAAAACGAAATCAAGTTTCTTTTATCCAAAGTTTATAGGTTCCAGGTACAGTGCAAAGGCTATTGAAACTCTTAATCATCAAAAAAATGTCAAGAGCAATACACTCCAAGAAAACTTGGTACGTGACAGGCTA